ATATATATATATATATATATATATATATATATATACACACACACTGGTATATTTTCTAACTATGACTTTTATGTGAAATCATGCTACATTTTTCAGTTTCCATGTTGAAAGCCTCACTGAAAGGTTTACCCTGTCACTGCTGACGGGCAATGCTGCATTTTATTTATGTGGCTCTCAAAATGTCGGAGCTGACTTAGTGTTCCTGTTGCATCTTGGAAAACCAGAATTGTTTGATAATTGTAGTGCTCAGTAACCAGGCTACCTACTAATAGCATCATAAATCAATTACAACAGATTATTAACAATTGATCAATATGTTCACTAAGTGGTTGGACAGTGTGTGACTGAAATAATGGAATTCAAACTGACCAGATTCAATAAATAAACTATAATACTGCAGCTATTGCAACTTTTAATGCTCAAGTTAGACATATTTGATTTTATGGCAGATTGTTCCAATAAGAAAATCTGTAATTCTGATGTTGAGAACAAATGGATTACACCATTGTGATAAAAGTGGGGAATTAATTCTGGATAAGTCTAAAGCACTCCTTGAAAGAGCCACAGCTTCTAAAGCACTTCTACCCAAGATTTTTCTCAATCTGTTAGCTTTTCATCTCTCTGACTCAAATGTGTGTATGGTTTGAGGTTCAATGCACATGTGAAGGTCTAGATCTTACATAAATGCATGATAAGGGTTAGAAAACTTCAAATAGTCAGGGTACACAGGTTTCTATGATGCAATGTGGACTTTATCATACATTAAAATCAGCTTTGGTCGTGGTTTCCATCTCATATCTTACCGTACATACAGATTTTATTCTGTTTTATGTTGTTTAAACTTTTACATGTTTTGAAGTGAGACTTGGTTGGCTGAACAATAAACCTTTGTCTTCATTTTCAGTTGACTGAAACTTTTTATTTAAAAATTTGAGTATAAAATAAAACATAGCTCTGACAGCAAACACAAGAAAATGAGATGTTTGTTGTAAAGAGTTGGGCAGCATTTGCTAACATGTTTCTTTATTGTATTGTAAAAGGGTAGACTTTGAAAATCAAGCCTAGTATCACAAGTTTCAAACTATAATTAAAGCTGCAATATTTTTGCAGACATTTTTTTTTGTATGGTCGGTGTGAGGACTGACAGTAGCTGAACGTTAGCTACAGTAGCTGCAGTGAGAGGCATTTAGAATAGTCATGTTGCACCTGTGAGTAGCTTTAACTTTAAACTAGCAACGAGGAATTTTATCACCTTAAAGGAATTAGTGTTTCTGTATTTTCTCAAATTTTAAATGGTCAGTTATATTCAAATATAAAATAATGGAGAAAAAAAAAGAAAATGAGAACATTTATTTGGAAGCCCAGTAAAGTTCAGCTTAGCTCAGTGCAAATAACTCAGTTATGCTCAGGACAAAACTTTATAAAAGAGGTGAGAATATGAAGCCGATGACTGAGAAGTGGGAGGATTTAAATCAGACTTTTGAGGATGACAGGAAGAGGAAAGGGTTGTGAATGAGCATTTCACTGCCTGTTCATACATGCTATATGTACTGTATGTGCTGTACTTGCAAAAGAGAATCAGGCACACAGCTCTGGTATTAAGGTTAGATAGAAACTATTACATGCAATATTCAGTTTTTCTTTTTTATTATTTATTTCTCCTACAGTACTGTTTGAATCAAAGTCTTAGTTTTAACTATTATTGTAAAAAAAAAAGACCCGTTGTACCACAAACTGCTAAGATGTGTAACATATGAAGATGTGTGGGCTGAGAGCGAGTGAGTGAGTCTGTGTTTGATTGTTGATCTGTAGACTAGTGGACTCATCACCATGTCTGTACACTCTTCTAGCAGTGACCTGAATAAAACCAGAGCATTCTTCGTTATTATTTATCATGACAAGAGCATTTCTGACACATTTGGAAGCTGTATTTAAACAAGTTGCAGAGAAGATCATGTGGATTTAGTTTGACATAAAGGACACTTTCAGAATGCACATGGTTGTTAAAGACTGAGGCCTTTTTTTATTTGGGGTATTTCTGTATTTTATTACAAGTGTGTAATGTGTACTGTACTTAAATAATTTGTCTTATGGTCACCTGTCAGGGTCACATTGTACAGGACATCTACATGCATATGTTGAATGTACCACAACGTTAAAGACGTCACTGAACTGCTCATATTTGGTTTGTTTGTACTGGTCCTGTTCCAGAGCTTCACTCCTGAACAGCCCAATCAAGTTTTTACCTAAAACTGTCTAAAGCAATACATGGGAAGTGTGCTTGCAAGTACACTTGGTTTTTTTTATGATTATTTTGGGTATGAAAAAAAAAATACCAGTTGTTTTCTAACAATGACTTTGGATTTCATCTTAAAGTGATGCTCAATTAATATTTTATCATTTGTTAACTGTTCTTTGAATAGTCTCAGTTTGGAAAAACAGGGTTCAAATCTGACAAACTCTTGACTAGTCTGAATGCAGCTAAGACCAAAGTGGTTTGCAGTTTTCCTAAAGCTGTAGTAAGCACAACTGTTGTTGCAGAAATATGAATCTCCTGTTTGAAATGGCCCATGATGCACCACACTTTGCTGCTGTTGCTGCCATTTGTGCTCACAAAGAACCACAACGGTCGATGAAAATATACACGTTTTGTGAAACTGATGGTGGTGTAAAGTTGGCTAAAATAGCATTTGCGTGAATAGTTATGAAATTGTGAAGGTTGGTACTGTTTTGGGACTGCTTCTATCTGCTTTAGTCTTGACTTGTTTAAACTCTCTGTTAGCTCATCAGTCCTATTGGATATAAACTCTATTTATCCAAACTGAAACTGTTTAAAGAGCTCTGTTTAAAGCTCTTCCACAATA